CATCACTGCGCTGCCAGCGAAGGTCCCGGAGGGGTATGCCAGGCAGGTGCCGGACGCTGCAGGCAAGCTGGGCTTTTGTACCACTCTGAGTCGACGGACCGGCTCCGTGCGCAGCCTTCGTTCGCAAGGCTCCCGGCAGCTTGTTCTGTGCATTAAAGATTCATATTAAGTCCAGCTACTCTGCCTCCTTGGTGTTTCTTCCTGACACCGCCTCGCCACTGTTTGGGCATTCGTAGGGTTTCAGGACTGGAGAATGGCATCACCGACGGTTGTCCCTGTGTCGGGATGTGGCTGAGATGATGGGGCCATATCTGGAAACCGGCGCTGACCCCAAGAGCTGGACGCGCGGAGAAGAGGGGAAAGTGCAGCCTCTTTGCGTAGGGTCCTCTCCCTCCCCAACACCCAGCTTGGCCACCGGCCCTGGTGGGAACTGGAGCCATGTGGGAAAGCCCAAGAAGGAAGCCAAGGGCTAAAAAGACATGGAGAATCTGGTTTCTTTTACTGTCAGATGTGGGTTAGGCTGGCCTGGGATCCCTGTGGGTAATGGATTTCTCAGCCTGGTAGCCAAACCAAAAAGTGCAGGAGGGTGAGAGAGGGGGGAAAAAAACCCAAAAATCAGATCAGCTCAAAGCTATTGCTTTTTCTTTTTAAAGCAAAACAACGAACCTGGAGGGCAGAAAGGGAACAGTGTGGGTTGAATGAATCGGTGTAGTCAGCCCAAAGCAAACAGTTTTCTTTAGTTTTTCAGGTTATTTAACCCTTTAACATAAAAGCAAACAAGCAGAAGGTGAGTTTCAAAATGAAAATGTTTTGAAACCAAACAAAGGTGTAGGATTTGATGTGAAGGAAGTTCAGCCAGAGACCTTTTTCTTCTTGAGCTAAACCTCTTTGCCTGATTTGCACCCACTTCAAATAATTCTGATTGTTTCTCCCAAACTGCTCTTTTTTTCTCCCTCCCTCTTTGGTTATGTCTCTTCATTTGTCTTGAGCCACGTTGCAGTTGCACGTTGGAAAGGCCTCCAGTCCCTGGTCAAAATCCCACTGGAGTTCACAGAAAACTTTGCCTTGACGTAGCAGCCTGCGGAGCAAGTGCCAAAGCATTGCAGGTTGCCTGAGGTCTTAATTTTTAAGCTAAATCCCTTTTTCTGATGGAGAAGGAGAGGACAGTGACACTGAGGGATCTGGGCTATGGCCACCGTGTCACTGAGACTTGTACAGCACTGAGCACGAGGGTCATGGAGGGACTGCGATGCCAGACGTGTTAAGACCTCTCTCAGCCCCCAGCACTGCTGCTGCCCGTTGACCATCCCTGTGCCCTTTGGAGGTGGCTGGTGGCCATGCACTTGGGTTGGGGGAGATGAAGGAGATGACCGTGAGTTGCTGCACATGAACGCAGACTTTGCATTTGCTTGACTGGAGCTGACAAGCCCCAGCACGGCTCTCAGCACCCGTCCAGCACCCCACACACCAGCCAGGCCTGAAGCAGGTCTGTGAGCTGCAGAGAGACTGGGGCTCACAGATCTTGCACATCCTGAAACGGGAGACACTGGTGTGAGAGAAGGTGAGGCAATATTTGTTCAGCTTTGCTATTGTGTAAAACAAAACACAGCAAAACCCTTGAATTTCAAATGTACTGGTGTCCCGGCCAGTGCCCGTACTGATGTTTCTGGCACTGCGGTGTTACGCCGAGCCGCTGATTTCATGTGCTGCCATGACACGGTATGTGCACTGCTGGGGGGCAAAAAAAAAACCCCTAAACCTCTCTTCAAAGCCACTGATGCAGAGCGATGGGGAGTGATCCTCCCCTCTCGGTGGCTGCAGGCCGCTGATGCATAGCTATGGGGAGTGATCCTCCCCTCTTGGTGGCTGCAGCGGTTCCCTTGTCCCACAGGACAGGACCCCCGGGATGCTCAGCAGGATGCGGCACACGCTGGGACTGCCGGGGCCAGCAGCAACCACCCAGAGCCTGGCTGGTCCCAACCCGACGACGTGTTGCTGCTAGCGTTGGGTGCACCTCCAGGTGCTTTGAAGCTGTCTTGTTTTCTCAAGGCTCTGGCCCGCAGCCGTGCCTTTCCCTGTATTTTACAAACACGGTGTTTTATTTTGTTTTTGTTTGTTTTTGCTTGGAGATGATTCAATGCTCTTGAAAGCCCTCTGCAGTGTGTGCTGCGATGGGGAGCAGCTCTGCGGTTTCACTGCAGGCGAGAGCCGGTGTTGACCGACCTGACGGACAAATTGCTTATGTTTTCTGTAACGCCGCTGACGGGAGTGGAGGCAATCGTAGGTGTGACGGGGCTAATGCTACTCGTGGGATTCCTGACCATCATGAGTGTGGTGCTAGGCATTAGGAATAGGAGATGCCAGCCAAAATACAGGGTTGCAGGCTGGAAGCCCATCAGCACGTTTTTCTCCACTTTTGATACAGCGAGCTCCCTCACAGTGGTATTTTTTTTGTACCTGGGATCCCCATCCCAGCAGCCTCCCTTGGCAGACCCCAGGAGGAAGAGGCAAAGCCCACAGCACAGCGCCGTTTTGCTGCAGATGGCGATGGAAAGGAGACCTTCAAGTCTGGTAGCCCTGACTTCTGCTGGGACCAAAACAGGAGCAGCACAAGGACAGGTTGGCTGTCCCCCGGCTCCACACTGCAGCTGTGTTCGCTGCAGAGACCAGGGCCTTAATTCTTGCTGCTTACCTTGGAAGGCTCCCGAAGAGCCTCGATTCGTATCCTTGGTGAGGCTGGCTGTTGCATACGGGTATGTATACAGAGCGGGTTGTGTGTAAGCCTGTGTTAATATGTACAGAGCAGGTGGAAGAGTCTAGACTCCTGGGCAGGAAGGCTGTGGAGTTTGACGGCTATTAACCTGTCGAGAAGCGCCCCTAGCTCCCAGATCAAAGCCAGAAGAGCCTCTGGCTGGTGATGCTACCCGGCACGGCGTACCCAAGCCAAACCAAACCGAGGAATTTGTCGAGGTTACACATCCTCCAGCGCACCGCTGAAAGGAAGGGTTTGTATTTTCTCCCTGGAAACTTTGGAGAATGTAACCCTCCGGCTTTCAAGATAAACAGTTGTAGTCACAGCCGAGCAATGCTGGCAGATGAGCCCGTGCCCCGTCGTGTGTGCGCGCACACACATGCAGCCCCTGCCATTCCTCTGGCTCCCTTGGGGAAAAGGGATCCTTGCTCCAAAGCAAGTTGCTGCTGCCCCAGGAGATGGTTCCCCTTGCCAAAACCTACCCCAACTTTGCTGTGGAGCTTTGGCAGACCAGAGACCAGTGCTGTCCTGGGTGGGGAATGCACCAAGGGGTGGATGGAACCTGAAAAGCGAGTGGGAAGGGGGCAAAAAGATGCCATCATCCAGGTTTAGCAGATAAACTACCCACATTCATTTGCAAAGCTGGAATTATTTGCCTGATGGCATGAAGCAGGGAAGGGTGACCTGGCATCAACAGCTCCTGTCCGGAGTCACCAGCTTTAGGATGAGTTCAGGTCAAAAGGAGTAACCTCCTCCGTGTGCCTTTGCCGAGAGTGCCTGTGCAGGTAACGGCATCGATAGCGGGTGCGTGCAGGGCATCCGCTGCTCCCCGGGCAACCTGACCCTACTCCCACCATCCATGCACCCCTTCAGCACCTCATAAACTCCAGCTCAGCACCAGGAGGTGATTTCTCTGCAGAAGCTGCTCACTCTTCACTGTATGTGTGTTCACACTCTTCCTTTTAACAAACATACTCACTGCCACTTTCAGCATCCCTTGAATGTCCCAGTGGGTACACATCCTTCTTAAGGGCACCCCAAATCTGCACTTGTTTGGTAGCTCAGAGCTGGTGACAGCCGCAGGTCCCCTCCCAGGGCTGCGTGGGGCTGTCCCCTCCCGAGGAGCAGAGTGGCCCTGAACAATCCCCATTGTCCCCACGGTCATTGTTCCCCACCGCCCTCATCCCTGGCTGAGCTGCAGCTGGCACGGTGCACAGAGGGGCTGATTGTTTGGGTTCCTGTGCTGTTGCTGACACGCTGCTTTGGGCCAGCTTCTTCCCATGGCAAAGGCCTCCGGAATCAAGTACTGTGTTTGCTTCTTTATTTATTTGGTTGGTTTCTGCTTTTCCTCTTTTTTTTTTTTATTAATTTTTGCTTGGTTGGATGAGGTAGGCTGTGCTGAGGCTGGGGAAGAAGTCAAGGGAATGCCAGAGGCTGTTCCGTGTGGGCAGCCCAGGTCCTCTCCATCATGGGTGGGGGTGCCTGGGATGGACAAAGCCTTGCGGTAACACTAACGCTTGGCCACCACAATGCCCTGTGATGTGATAGGTGCCTCAGTGGCCTGAGAGGTCACATCTTGTTGCGCTGCGAGGATGTGCACTGTACGTTGTACCTGCTGGACCAGAGGCAGGGTTAGCTCTCCAGAAGTTGAGCATCACCAACATGAATCAATTTTTGCACTGCAAGACACAAAGGAAACTGTTTCTGTCTTTTTTTTAATTATTATTTTATTTTTCTAAGTGCACTTGGCCTGTCTGCCTCCCCTGGTGTTGGTGGCCATGACATAAAGCCAGGAGGGACCATGGCTCATAGTCCCACCTTGGTGAGGAGGACATGCCCTGGGCAGCTCTGGCCTTGCAAGTGCCATGCACAGCGCTGGGCTGGGGCGGGCAAGGCTGTGCCCAAAGGGCTCGGGGCAGCTCCCGGGCACCAGCAGCTGCAAAGACGTCAAGGACTGGTTTGAGTCGGTACGGTGTGCTTCAGCTTTGG